TCAAAAAGGAGACAGTTGCGTAAAGCGGAAAGGCGTAAGAACAAGCTGTAAACCCTTGGTTCTAAGGAATCCATGTTATTCGAGGAAACCTCTGCCTCAACGGAGTTTACTGACTAGGATATTGATAGCCCGGAATGAAGGCACTCATACAATCATTCATTTCAACACTCACGCCTGAGCGTGGTTACCGATTTATCGATCCATCTTGGCGTGATTTGGTTCCTTACCCGGCCGACCGTCACCATTTAACACCGGGTTTGTTCATTCTCGTCAAAAGCTCACTCGATGAACGGTCAAGGACAACGTTCTCGGGTGGTAGCGGGGAAACGAACAGTCAAACCTCACCGCACTGAAAGATTCAACCTCGCTCGGTAACTCACTCAAAGAGTACTTTTGTTTGTCTATCGAGAAATCACTGCATTCCGACCGGACGGCCTTTTAATAAACTCGATTCAATCGGTGAAGTGTGGTGACTGAAGCACCAATCACTGTGGGATTTCCAGCAGAATGCGTCTGGTTGGATTCACTTGAATTTGAACAATTATAGTTTTGGTCCGTGCTCACGCCCAAATGATTCCAAGCTGACATGCCTACCATAATTACCTCCTAACATGTGTTTATTTCACCTGTATTACCTGAAGGGGTAAATTTTGCTGGGTATAAGAGGTGGCAGTATAATGGTACCCGTCTGCAACTGGACTGTCTTTTTTGGTCTTGTCGATTCTCTTAGCTTATTTTCCGTCTTCCAAGTATCTCACAGAATTACTGAACTATTGAAACAACTTATCATCACCACCGTCATCATCATTGCACAGTGTAATACAGTGAACCGAGCTTCACTGATACTGCCAAACCCATATTGCATACGAGTTAAGTGTAGGGAGGATAGGGATTGAACTTAATTTTAGGGATGGGAAAAGAAAGTCAATCTAAATGGTCAACACACAGAGTACACAGTCCAACTGTGCATGCATACTATTTCAATCATTCTGGTCTGATAAGAAGTGACAGAAAGATCGCCGGTCGGTTCGCAGCCATGACCTTCAGTGTCTCCAACCATCCGGTTACTGAGTCTTTTGGACACCAACCTGGAAGACGAGAGACGCCTAATCTACCTAGTCAATCTGTGCATTTCTTCATACCTCGTCTCCACGTCATCTGCTGGCCTCCACGTGGCTTTCTCCAGTCTGCAACAACCTCTGCGAATAAGGCGCACTGCGGTAAACGACCGTGGAACATACGCAAAACGTGTCCTCACTAACGGAGCCTATTGAGCTGAATTCGATGCGATAGCGACCCATTCCCAAATGCCCGATGACTTACTTCTAAGTTACTAACTCGCTCACTCCATCCCACTTAGGCCAGACCGCATAGGAATCGATTGTCGAAAACCACCGGGCGACGGATGTCGTCTACCCGCAAATTCAAGGTCTCCCAATCGTAAAGGGGAACTGATCATACAGTGGTGTAGTATGCGCGACTTTTCAACTACAATGAAACATTACATCGCTGCCACAGGTGTTTAAATCCTGTTTACGCTGCTCGAGCCTTAGAAATGCGGGCGGTTATCTCCTTTGATGCGCTACCGTCGTTGATCAAGCAGCTACCTAAGTACGAGAAGCAGTCAACTACAGCTGATTCCTGACCGTCTCGTTTCAGAGCAGAACTCGGAGACATCCAGTCTTGTAGCATCATTTTGCACTTTGAAGGTGCAAAGCGCATGCCGAACGGAGCAGCAGAACTTGACGATTTGTCAGTGCTCTTTGTACATACTCCATATATTCGAACAAGTAGACGATATCGTCGGCGTACTCCAAATCGCACAGCTTTTCACCAGCTGCCCTTGAAACAATTTAGGTTGGAAGAGAAGTTGCAGATCAAAAACTAGATCTTTACTGGAATATTGAAATTTACACCCACCCCTGCAACCCATCCCTTGCTTTTAGATGACTTTCTCATACATAGGAATAATCCAGTTTTATGACATCGTCCACAAAGCATTCTGGAAATATGATGCGTAGGGACGTCCCCGGTACCGCTCAGTGTCCTTCGATGATGCGCTTCTATATCTTATATGTCTCAACGAGGGAATTCGTCGTATATAGAGCAAATTAAACGTTAACCTCATTTGAAAACTGGGTCAATTTGATTGAACAGCTCTTTCAGAACTAGTCCATTGTTGAATAAATACTACTATTTAATATTTTATATATATATATATATATATATATATATAATCACGTCTGTGTCCAGATTGCTTCAAACAAATCGTGGTAAAATAGTTTTTATGAAAAGAAAAAGTTCCATGGTTTGATCGTGTTACGTTGCGCAGACCTAAACAGGTGAATTTTCTTTGGTAATTCACAACCGGAGCCTTCAGCCAACCAAGGCCATCCAGATAGCCGGGTGAAAACAGCAATTTTTTTCGGGGGGGGAGGGAGGGAGGGAGCGATTACCTCTACCTGTGGTTCGTACTTCTCTTTCTGGTTTGCTTGGAATCAGGGTTTTTAACCATTTCCCTTAGGTGCACCGCCAATAGTTTATCGACTCGATTATAGCTCCGGATGTTGGTTTCGCGTCCCCTCACTTTAGTGGGAAAGCCACTCCACCACTGAAAGACAGTAAGAAGGGCTTCCACAACAGAGGCTATTCGAAACGCTTGGTTGTATAGAATCAATCCGTGATGTGCAAGGGAGGGGTGGTCAGCTTTCGGAGGCTATCTTTGTTATCTGTAAAGCGATGGAGTTATTTGGTGGTAATCCAGCCTCTTATGCGTCACGATATGGACGTTTTTGTTTTTTCTTCATAAAGGAATCGCTCACCAGACGATAACCGATCAGGTACCCGGCTATCGCCACTGATCGTCCGTGACCACCTGTTCGATGAAGCAAGGTCCTCCTATTCACGGTGAACAACCTAAGTGGCTTCTATCCTATGCTTGGAGACGCGTCCGGTAGCAAACAGCGCCACTGACCATGAAGCTGGAGTAGCCTACTGACTTCCATATCCTGGGTGTTATGTTTCCTGCCTTACTCACTGTTATTAACACGATTATTAACACTATGAAATATTTATTGTCACATTGCTGTTGCTGTTGTGATTTGCTGCCCTAAACCTCTTTCCTTAAATGTTTTCGTTAAAATTGATTTTGTTTACAAATGTACTTCAGCTCTGCATCTGCACGAGCGTATAAAACACAGACATCAGACGACCCATTACGGATTTGTGATTTTCCTTTTTTTCCCTAGGCCAAGTTACGCGGTCAAGTGGCTGCAGAACAGGAACGTTTACTTTCGTCCAAAGAGACCGAACTGCACGAATTGCACATAGAGCTGGAACGAGTGAAATCCGATTTGAAGGGAGCACGCGAAACGACAGCTAGTTTGAACAGTCAGTTAAAGATGAAATCTGAGGAACTGGCCGAAGCACAGCGAACAATTAAGACGAATGAAAATAGTAAGACCATTTGATGCAATATTGATTTATTGGTGCTCGCTACATTGAGTTGTTGTATTTCTTGCACAGATTTACGGGAAAGGCTATTAGCTTTATTAGCTCAAATCCGTACCGGACGACGGGCACAAGCTAGTAGACCTACTCTTGCTCATGCACTACATTTAATATCTCATAATTTTTATAATCTAGTGCTTCTCTCGTGCATGTTCTTGTTAAACTCAATTCGCTCGAGCCATTCGGACCGTTTAGCCTCAAGATATCCACTTTTGCGCTTGTTTTGTTGCTGAATATCCACCTTTTGATTTGTTTAAAACGATTCCTTAAATTGACTTTGAACCTTGCATATCACCGTCTTCGGTGTATCAGTCAACATGTCTTGAACATCTGCTCGGTCACATTTCTTTCTTTTTCCAATACTGTAAGAGTCATGCACTATGCGGTTTAAACAACAATGAATGGTGCATTGATGATTCTAGTTGTTTGATCAGGCCTGAGTTACGATATTCACACACCAAGTTCACCAAGTAAACGACCGCAGAAATGTACTTAATGAGGTTTTCGATAGCAATTGATATTTTCACCACCCTGTTTACCAAACACCAAATCGGATTTCTTTTCTGTTTGGGTGGCACAAAACTTCTGAAATCACACAAGTAACACAGGCCAAGCGTAAGTTCCGATGGTAGGATCAGCCATACCTGGTTTGTGAAACTGAGACGGAAAACAGCAACAACAACAAAATTTCCATTTGAATAATCAATAATTTTGATCCTCTTTTCCATACAAAATGATGCTATATAAAATGTGACGTATTAGCCAGTTGATAAGTCACTGAAAATAAGCTTGTTCGCTCAACTGCGTTTTCATTCGATGTGTGCCGCTGGTGAGAGATAACTGAATTCGATGTAGAACTGACCGCCCCATTAATTTCAAACCAGTGAAAGTGAGAGCAGTTGGACTGAAACGCTTCGCAATTAAGGCTTTTGCCATTCCTTCGGGGATGGGTGTAATTCTCACACACTCAGGAATAGTTCAGAGTTCGAGTGAAACATTAGCTATGTGCGAAATTGTGAAACCGTGGCCCAGCACCGTGGTTAAGAAGTGTGAGACTCAGGTTGTCCGGACCAGGTGCGATCGACACCTTGAGAGAACGCATGTTTATACATTTCACTACAGCTAATAGGTTCAAACGAAGATGGGATGTAACGAGAACTCGGGTCAATGTAACTGGGGCATGTCAGACAAAAAATGAATGAATTCAGCATTCAGCTAGTCAGTATCAATAAAAGAACTGGAAATCATTTTCTTCTGCCAGCAGAGTAGCTTGATTCCATGCCACATAGCTTTCCAGTTCCTTGTCCCCAAAAGTGACTTGCATGAACGGGAATAAACCATCTTATTTCACTCTGGATCAGAAAAGATAGTCGTTGCATTTCAGTCCTCCTGCCACATTTAAATGCATGTTCCTTTTCACGATGAAGACTTTTAAGAAAAGGTGTTGGTATTATGCAATGCTGAAGGAACAGAGTTATCACGGGATAGCACATGTCAAAAACACGGTTTAACACATCTGTTAAAAATGTCCTATTGAACAACCAGGTTGTGTTTAAAGGAAAACGGTCAGTAACTACTTTGAGTGACTGTCTTAGCAGAGCAATATAGTCTGGGGAAAGATCTCGCTGACAGAACATGGTGTGTTTAGGTCTAGTAAAAGAAAAATGACCTGTTCTGTTGTACTCCTGTGATTCGCTGTTCAAAGTTAGATGTATTTTGTCGGTTCGTGTAATTGAACAGTGCTGTTCGCCGCACTTTTTGTTGCTCAGTGACACCAAGCACTGCTATTTTGTACATATTGTGTATCTCGATCCTAACTTTTGCCTTCAGCCTTTTACTCTTTTGTCATTTGCTCATCGGTCCCCCGAATGGTTAGCCGAAAGACGACAACCGAAACCGGCATACGGAACTGCTGGCTGGTAGAGCGAATTAAAGTTAAATGCTAGTTGTGTGATAAAGAAGCTTAGGATGGCTGTGGATGCGCTTATTTTCTTTATCCGTAAAATCCACGGATCACCGAATTCAAATTCAATCTTTTTATCATGACGCGGTGTGATGGCTTGTGCACCTCTCTGACCCAATCGCTTTTGTCAAGCCAAAGATCAAATCATGCCTGGAAGGTCGAAGGGTAGTGGTCAGACCAAGTCCAGTCTCCTGGTCCTCCAGGTTGGAGGTTCGACTAGAATTTGCATTTCAGTCGGTAAAAAATGGTGGAGGAGTAATCGATCCAAATAAGTGGACCTCCACTTCGCTTCACCTTGCGGTTTGGTTCTTGTCAGAACTAAAGGCTTAGGTTGAGAACCCTAATCGTTCTCCTGCTTAGTGGCCGGATACCCTAGCAGTACCCGTCCATTAAACCCCAGTGCATATGCATTGCGAGTTTGGCTGCGATCAGTGAAGTTCGATTTCCTGTATTTCTCTGTGCGATGATGATGATCATGGGTAAATTACGAAGTTGATGCTTATTGAATCCCGTAGGATCTGTACAGTTAAATAGCAAATTATAACGTTCACTCACAGGTGCTGAACAGCTAGGTATAGTTCAATGCTTCATCCGGCTGTGACTTGAATGAATCGATGATTCGTGCACAAACAAATTCAGGTAAAAGAGAGTTCCAGGTATTACAAACTCTGAGACTGAAAGAGTGACGCCTGCGGTCTATCATACTCTTTTGGAGTAAAAGTGTAAACGGATGTCCCCTGAGTTGACCATTCCTGGATTGTGTTGGTAGAGTACTAAACGGGTGGTTGGGTTGAGGTGGTATTTGATATACAAAGACCATATCTCCCCGTACTCGACAGTATTCAGATAATTATTGTCCGAGAATATGCAGCCTTTCACCGTAGGTTTTAGTTTATAATCCTTTGACCATTTCGGTTGCTGTTCTCTGCGGACGTTCGAGTGCCTTTAGGCTGCGAATTAGCCGTGGATGCCAAGCCTGCGTAGCATACTCGGTGTGTGGTCTAATGTATGCTGTGGGCAAACGGGGGAATAGGTCTGATTCGAATGATCCGAAAAACACGTTTTAATAATCCATACTTGCTTTATGCTATGATGATGCTCCAGCGCAAGGTGTGGAACATTCTGGATCCTCACGAACAATAACTCACAGATCCTTTTCGTTTAGAGAACACGGTAATGGCTGATTTCCAAGTACGCATATAGAGCGATCCCTGTGGTGCAACGATACAACCTTGCATTTCTCAACGTTGAATTTGATGTCATCAGCAACAGATCATCGGTAAGCTGCGTCGAGAGTTTTCTGTTCTTCAGGACATTGTACCGTTCTCGATGTTTGGCGTTTTCAGCGAATAATAGTATCTTTTCTTCAAGGACAGCTAGTAGGTCGTTTGCGAATGCTGGGAGAGGGTGCGGACCAAATATGGATCCTAGTAGAACTCCACGGACACCCTCAATTTGTCCCGATAGTGAACCATTAACTCGAACCGATACGGTACGTTGTGGAAGAAATTCCTCAATCCAGTCAAGGGACAGTCCCCGAACACCGTAGTTATGAAGCTTTCAAAACAGTATACAGGAGTTAACCCTGTCAAAACCAAGTAGACCAAGTAGACTACGTCTACTGCCTCCTCTACGTCGACTGATATTGTCCACTCATCTCATGCAAGTAACCGGCGCACGAGCGTTTTCTTCTAGACCCATATTGGACCGGCGAAAGAATAATCAACAATTGATTCCATTACTTTTGACAGAACAGAAAAAAAGTCTAGCCGGACGGTATTTCACGGGATCACTTCTGTAAATCGGTGAAATGATACCGTGTTTCCAGGACTGAGAATTCACCGTCTTGTCAAACGTGCTTTGGTATAAATGAGCACTTATTTCAGATTTGTGAGTTTTCAAGGATGTTAGAGTTTGTGGGCGGATGTTGTCTTCCCCTGGGGATGAATTCTTACGCAGTGCCAATAGTTTGGCTTTTTCCGTTGCAGATTTGAAGGTGACGGTAGTCAACTGGGGATATGGGCCACTTGTCAGAAGGCATGGAAGCTGCCATCCGAATTTCTCACCTACAGTAAACACTTCATAGAACTGGACTGTTAGGAATTCGGCCGCTTCGAAAGCAGTAGTGGAAATGAGTCCTGCGTGCCTTAGCGCCGGTATTCCGTATTTGACTTTTCTGGTGGCATTGACATGCTGATATAGGAGCTTTCGATTGGAAGTAAATTTGTGTCGGGGTTTCTCGAACCTCCCGTTTATCCTCCCGCACTAATTTTACACAAAGGTTTACGTTCAATCAGGAGGTATTCTTATTAGACTCGGAACTTTGCCAAACAGGTAATTAGAATAAAGACCGTTCTCACCGTCTTTTTCATGCTTCAAAGTAACGCGAAGTAATCTTGGTTCTCCGGCGTGTTTCGAGGACGGTTGGCCAAAGAGGCGCATGATGCTCATTGCGTGAACATTTGTGTTCATTTGAGTACAAAATGTATTTCAGTGACCAAGCTCTTCTACTTGTCTCTTCCTCAGTGAAGTTGCTTTCGCTTCTCGTACATTAGTACATATAACTGTCAGAGCAGTGGGATTAACTGTTCCCTTTTGTTTTTTCAACGTATGTTGTATCGGCGTGTAGGTACTTTGAACTGAAAGTGTCTCCCAGAGCCTGAAATTGGGGCCACGTCGTTTGTTGCTGTTATTGTCGTCGTAATATGGACAAATGTCGGCTGCATTGAAGGGTTTTCCGGCTCTAAGAAAGTGTTTGTTTGTGTTCCTTGTTGTTTTTGATACCTTACTAAATCAAGAGAAAAATCTATGAAATAACAAGACCAGATAAAGGGGATTCAATTCATCTATTTCGTGTTTTGTTTTGCATATGTGGGTTGAAGTTCTTTTATCGTTCATCATTACTTATGTCGGTCATACATAATCTTGATTATTGATCATGTTTATCAAAGTGCTGCGTGCGCATCGCTGCCACTTTATCGCCATGTAATTAATTCGCAGAATAAATGAATCATCTCACTTTGTTACACGAACGTAATCGCGCAAGCTTATGTTTGGAGGCTTCTGAACAATGCCACTCCGGAAATAACTTCCTTCAGTGCATCGCTAGTCACTTTAACTATCTACTCAATTATTTAACTTGTGTATCCCTGTTTATGTTCCTGAATGTGTAGTCCACTGCCATTCTTTTGTGCCTGCTGCCAGCCAACCCAGGTGAATTTCGCTCCCAAGTTTCAATGTAACAGCCACCCTTTAAGAATCTTTCACTCGAGATACCGTCTCTAATATAGACTTTTCGTCCAAATAAACTGTTCTGTTACACCTTTCTCTGTCTGTGAGTTTGCAAGCTTATGGGTTGTGCAATTCTGTCGCTTTCGCTGATCTCAGGTCAATATTATCGGTGGTGTAATTCCCAAGTCCTTCGCACATTTTTCCATTGCACGCAATCTGGAAGTGCACTAGTTTCTGACACATCTTTTTCCATTGCCAATCACCTCAAGAAGAGATACCCGGCCACAATAATGATGATCATAATGAATGTCTACGTGACTAGACTCCATTCGGAATACTTTTTCTTGCCCTAAAAGTGCATGATCAGGGTAGTCAGAACAGGTTGCGCGCGCCTCTTTGATCGATAATCGGAAAAGTTTGATTCATTCAATCTAACTGCATGCGATGCATTAGTATATACACACAGGGCGATGGTGTTCACAGATATCGGAAACAAGTGGAGCATTACTTTTTTGATAATTTTTCTTGCTCTAATGAAACCGAGCATTGTTAGCACAGCAGAGAAACAACTGTATTCAACTGTATTTCGTATGTAATTGGCCTCACGGATCAAGTTTCAGGAAAAAATTTCAGACATGGAAGCAATTATGGCCCTTGTTTTTTAACACTGCACATCTCACGCAGAATCACCGTGATGTTTACATGCCAGACTTGAGATTCAGACTCAGGGTCGGTATTTAGACAAATTATGCAAAATACGTTGTCCTCTATTCGCCTAATTCGTCCTATCTGTTCAAAACCCTCACATTACCATACCATAGATCCCCTCGGTTGCAGTTCACACAACTTTTATTTTTCCATTTAAACACAGGTTCTGCTTAAGAATGGACTATTTTTTTTAACCGGACTGCTTTTGATAGTACCTTAACGGTGAAGAAACGGACTAGGGCCCCACGACATATAGAGTCAGAAGCTTGCTCCAAGTGTAAGCTAAATTTGATTTTCTGTCTGCGTTATGTAGGCTTGTCACAGTTCTGTGGTTTTTGCATCATATGTTGATTGGGTCGATGCAATCGGGAGCGGATCGGAATTCGGTTACCACGGTTAGGAACAGTATCGCTTTTGTAAAAGCACGAAACGGTTGTTAATCACGGTGATTTGTTTTATTTTTTCGCATTGAGGAAAAGTTAGATTTCACATGATCGGTCAAGTGGTGTTTTTGCTATGATTATATGCTATGTACGAAAACGATCGATGGACCATACATGTGCTTAACTCTCGTTTGTTCTTTTGTCGTTTGGTCTCTTATAGTTGTCTTGGCGTTTCCACCTGGTCTTCTTTCATACCAGTTATTCAGTTATATATATCTGCTGGTGGAAGTGTGGGTTTCGCTTTCGGTGTCCAGTGATCAACAGGTGAAACACGCAACCCCATTCTAAAAAAATGATTTGATCTCAAACTGGTTGCTCATCTGTCCCACGTGGATCTTTTTAATCTCTCTAGTCGAATCCCACGAAAGTCGTTCGATTGGCATTTGTCGATAGTATATAGACTGGAGACTGTCAAATATTTGACAATCTCTCTTGACTTCCTCGCATTCCTTATTTTGGCCGGCGATATTTAGGACATTTAAGTCATTCTTAGATTATGGAAGGTAGTTATGTTAATCATGCAGCTCGGTAATTACTAGTACTTCTTTGTTTGTTATGACGAGCCTTGTTTGTGATAAGGCATGCAGGAGAAAGCACACGTCTTCAAGGACTGGAAAGACATCTAGCCGTGTGATAGTTCGAGTTCCGAGCGCATTTCCTAAGTGTATCACGGTGCAAGCATTTTTGTGGCACCCAAACCAATCCTTGATTCGTTTCTGGTTTGAAGATTACCAAATGCCCCGGGCCTTGCAGGATTCTCAACCTTTGCATTTGGTTATTCCAAACTATATCCTAGAGTTGTTCAACACAACTAACAGATCCATTCAAACTAGAGCCTCACCCCATTTCACATTCTGTGTCCGTGATGCATTGATGTTGTTGTTCCCTTACCGCCAACTCTTCACTCGATTGTAATCGCGATGACTGTTGTCTTACGTTAACTTTCTGTCCCATATTACGCCATGATGGTGCATATTTTGTTTTCTGCTTCACATTTGCGTTTAGTTATCGGCTGGTTAAATCGACAGATTTCTGAAAACCAAATGGGTCAAATGCAGCAACGGTTAAGATCTTCCGGATTTCCCACTCCAATTCCACCTTTATCCAACGGAAGCAATCGTCTTTTATCGCCTGCTTTTGGTACGACTGCCGGTTGGCAGTCCTCGACTGGCACCCGTCTGACGAACCAGTTGATCCCAATGACGCAGGTCAACATGATCGGGAGCACGACCGTGACTACAGCAACAATGCCCGGGACTTTTACGAACACCACAACGTCAAACTCAACAACCGTTTTGAGTTCGCGCCCAGCTAGCTCGGTGCTCAATTATATGGGTGTCTCTGCAACTGCAGCTTCAACATTCCCGGTAAGCACATTGCATCAAGTACCCGAATCGGAAAATGAAACTGATTATGGGAAATCGCTAAAAGTAATGGACGGTGGTAGTCATGTAAGTTTTTGCTGTGTTTGCGGATGTGTTCTATTTCTGCCAAGACTACATTTTGTTACCAATCTATCCCATTTGTCACAATGTGGCACAACAATCGTTGATTCACTTCATGTTGGTACTGAACGAAGCCATTTCTTCTTAGTCAACGAATGAACTTCACCATGAATTAATAGCAGAGCCGCAATGGGAATTGATTCAATCAGTGAACTTGTTCAAAATGCAAATCGCTTATTCGGCAATAGAAGATCGCTGTCATTCTTGGAGTCTGCATTCGCAGTGTGTGCGTGTGTGTGTGCAAATGTTTTCTGCGATCGAAATGCGTTCCTAACTGCTCGTTATGCAAAAGTAAAATTTACATTCAGTGTCGGTGGCAACGTCGATCTAATATATATGCGATTTGATGAGTTATATATATATATATATATATATATATATATATGCATATATTAAATACCAATCTTTACATATACAGCACAAAATAACCATGGGTTTAACGCAAAATATAGGAAAACAGTCAACTTGGGGAATAACCATGTTTTCTTTGTATGGTAGAGGCTATTTGAGACGCTTGGTCGTGTTACATCCATTCGTGACGTGCAAGAGAGGGTTGGTCGTCCACAACCCGAGACACTCACCCTCAGAGGTTAATATACCATCACCTCTTGACTGTAGTCATGGACGGAGCAGTCTACATTAGAAGTAGTAAGTAATTGTTCCAAGACAGCCGCCAAATTTACACGGACTACTGCATAAAACTGGAAAACCAAATCAGTGCTACGCTGAACTCACCGAAATGATGTGAAAAGGTACGTGTGTAATTGGAGTTGTATGAAACGTAAGGATACCAAGAGAAGATGATAACCTGACCTTCAATTATCATACGATTCTACGGACTGACGACGGTACACAATGGGGCGATTCCATTGGGATCGATCGTCTACAGCCAAGGACATCCACACAAGTGCTATCAATCTAAAGAATGGAAACGACTGAAACTGCTTATCCTAGGACAAGCGCCTAGCGCCAATTCCGTGAGCTCCGTTCACCACCTTCCCCTTTAAAGCTGAATCGTTAGATTTGAACCTCGGGTTGACTTGCATCGAGAACACGAATTGGTATTTTCACCTCAGTCATCTTGTAGTGTTTCTGCTACACGCCTGTGTATGCGTGTGTATTCTGGACTATTTCTGTCTCACAGGATTCCAGTACGATATCCAGTGGTAATTCTCGTTTATTTCCACTTTTGTGCAGCATTTGGTTTGCATGTAAATACCCTCGAGTGCATTTCGTTACTCACTGCAAGATGCCATCTCCGAATTCGTACTGATCAGCTCGCAGAATCAATCAGTAATTTAGTAATTTAGTCCTACTCACTGCCTTCTCCTAGGGCGGAGGTGTTTTTGCACAAAAGTGAGAGGACGAAAAGCTGATATCCGGGGCTATAACCGGGTTAGTGAACCAATGGCAGTTTACCAAGTGGAGTTGGCTTAAAACTCTGATTCCAAACCAACCACGAGGAGACGTACGAACCACATACACAACTTGCAGCTTGTGGCAATGGTCACCGGCTTGATTGGGCATCA